TGATAAATAGATTTCTGTTGTTTTTGCCTTCCCCATTCGTTTATAGTTCTTTATGCCTCAATACTATTCACTTCCATTATTCTGAAAAATTTGCTAAGAAGCTCTTGTACCTCTTAAGTCATTGTTATCTGAAATCCCTCACTTTTTCCCACACCAATCCTGATCCTTAGAAGGTTCTCAAAGACCAAATTGAGAGGTTTTGTTTCAGTCCTCATCCTAGTCAACCTCTGCTGGTTTTGATACTTTTGATCATGCACTCTAAAAGTGGATTCTTGCTGAATTCCTTTATGGTTCCTATTTCCCACCTACCTTTCTGAGAAGTCCTTTTCTGTTTTTTTTTTTTTTGTTTTGTTTTTTTCTTTTCTTTTCCTTGATCTGCCCTTTAACCAGTGCTGTTTCCCAAGAATTTGTTCTTTTGACAAAATCCTCTGATAAATGGCCACGATGACTTTATGAATTCAGTAGTCATGCAAATATATGTAAATTGCCCTCAAATGTATTGTCTAACTCAGATCCCATCTTAAATATTGAACTCTATAAGGGACATATTGTAGACTTTCAAATTAAAAGTTTTCAGATCAAACTCTTAACCTTTTAATTCACTCAGTATCATCTTTGTTCACTCTTGTTCAAGCAAATGGTATTACCTCTATCTTTAATATCATCTCACCACCCACCATATAATTAGCCACTTAAGTTTTGGTGATATGTTAGCATAAGCGTTCTCTTTCTTTTCTCTCCCAAGAGTACTGCCCAAGATTTAGCCATAGCTTCCCAGATAGAACTTATGTGAGCCTTTTTTCTGTTTGCCACTGTTATCTGTTATTATTGTAAAGTATGAATACTTTCTTCCATTTTACAGAAATGTTTCATCAACCCATACTAGATTATCCTAGAGGATAATCTCAGATTATAAAATTACCAAATCATGAATGAATTTGTGCAATTTAGAAGTCTTCTATAGACTCTTAGTTCCCACATGTTCCCAACACATCTGTGCACTTTCATACTTCTATGAAATTATCCTCCTTTGGTCCCCACATCCTCCTCTCCTGACCTTGTTACCAATATATACTAGTAAAATACTGCCACTTAAATGTCATCTCCAGTGTGAAATCTCTCTTGACTTCCAAGACCAAATGAATCACTCCTTCTGCTTTCTCATGATTATTATTATAATTTATTGAGCCCTAGGGACACTAAATGCTTGGTATTATGCTACAAGAAAGGTTCATAAGTATGTTCCAATTTTCCTGAAGACCTTGAGGGCCTGAGTCACAGATGAATAGCTCCAACCTTAGCTCCTACCTCATTTTGCCTCATGGTATTCCACGCCACTTCCCCCTTTCAGCTCACTGAACATACCTCTAAGGGGACTCACTATCAGCATCATTATGACTGTGGTAAGTATCAATCAAGAAATTTCTATGTGACAAGTAGATCACTTGCTCATCTCAACTATTCCAGCAGATACCCCATGTCACAGTTTAGGAAACAGAATTTGGAAGAACAATTTTCTTTAAGGCAACGCAGCTATAAAAAGGCAAATGCACAGGTGCACCCACAAGAGCTGGACTGAACAGAAGCATAGTACTGATTCTTGTTTGAACTATTACATTTGGGATTTTAGTTTGTTGACCAGACTGAGCTCCTCTAGGCATCTGTCTTTGGGTTTATTTTTCTTTCTCTGTGCCTACGACCAGATTATATTTGAGGTTTTACTTCTTCCTGTCTGGTGGCTCCTGCTGCAATTTGTTAAGTTAGGCCCAGGTGTAAGCAGAACAGGCAGAGGTTAATAAGAAACACTGCCCGTGCATTCCTACTTCATGCAAGTGCAAACCCTACTCATAACCATAGGGGAAACATGGAACTGGTTGTGCCTCGGACTTGGAATTTGTTTTGGTCACACACCTTTGTATGTTGAATTCTCTGGAACGTTGGCTTTACCAAAGAGAGCTATGCTTAGTATCATACATACTACAGGGAGGAGCAAGTGTTGGTGAAATGCTGCCCCTGTCAAAACTCAGAGGTAAACAGTTTGTCTCTTGAAGGTTCTTCTGGCTTTGTGCTTTATTTCACCTTCATTCATTTGTTGTTGTTGTTGTTATTTTAATTGACATAACTTGGTTTACAACAATGTATATAATTCAGAGGTCTAGGATCGTACTATGAGTGTCATGGCGGCAGAGTATGGTAACGTACATCTGAAGAGATGCGGTCCTACACCTCACCTTCATTTCTTAATGACTATTTAGGAGAACATGGAGTTCCTGGTTGGCAGTTATTTCTTTAAAAAAAAAAAAACTGAAGCTACGGTTCCATCACTTTTTTCCTACCAATTATTACTGTTGAAAAGTTAGGATATAATCTGTCCCTTAATAAAAGTTATAGATATGCATCGTTTACCAGTATTTCAGCCAGCAAACAACCGAATCTATAAAAGAGGTCTCAGAAAGCTATACCATCTAGGTTTGTAAATTAAACACTATGACATTTGCACAATAATGCCACATTTCCTGGTCTATAAGTGTCTTATGTGATATGTGGTACAATCTTTTCCCATACACACCCACTCCCCTGGTTCACGGTAACATTATTTTTCCTTCATCTTTATTATTTATTTATTTTTAGGTAAGTCTTCCTATTTATCCTGCTGGACTATTTAGGTTTCTTGAGATTCTTCTTTTTGTAAACTGATGTCTCTCATCAGTTTTGTAGAAGTTATAAATTCTTTCAATTTTGCTTTGATTTATTTTATCTCTACTTTTCCTTCTGGGATTCCAGCTAAATATTTATTATATTTTTTTATGTGTCCTCTCCACAATATATCTTAATCACTTTTCTGTATTTTTCTTTCTTTTGATAATATGTGCTTTTTTCCTTAGATTATTCTGATCACTATTCCTTTATCACTATTTGCTTAATATACAAAAAAAATCTTTCACTAAGTTCTTAAATTTCAGCTACTATCTACTTCTAGAATTTTAATGGCTTCTTTTTCATATTTGCAATGTCACTGTTTAATAATTTGCTTTACTTGATAAAAATTTTAAGTGTGATTTTCATCTCTATAAACTCAGTAACCATTGTGGTTTACCAACCTGGTAATTTTTGTATCTGCGCCTAGTAATTTTAGTCTGGCACATACAGAATGTTTGCACTGTTTGTTTCCACTGCTCCCAACTCATTTGTAGTCATTTATGTTACATTATCTCCTCATGTACATAGTATCTGTGATAGCATGCTGGTTACTGCATCTCCCTTGAAAAAAGATTTTGAACTCTTTTGTCAGATTTTCAATGTCTAGTACATTAGCAGTATGGGGTTCCCCTTCATTATTCCATTTCTTGGAATTTGGGTGGGCCTTTCACATGACTCAAAGCTGAGATAAAGTCTCTGTGAAGCTGTTTTACTTCTATTTTACCTAGGACATGAGATAGTTTACCAGGATTTCTCATCTATTCAGGTCCTTGACTCAAACTCTGCTCCACTTTATACTGAGTGACTCTCAGAAGTGCCACTAACTCCTACTGGGCCAGAAAATGCCCTATAGGTAAAAGCAATCCCAAACACTAGATCCATACCTCCCTCAAATATTAACCTAAATGAAATATCAAATTAGTTATTTGTTGCACTTAGGGAACTATTTTTAAACATCATCAAAAATGCTTAAATTTCAGGGGAGTTAATCCAAGCTACACCTTCAGTTTGCATAATGCTCTGATAGCTCTGAAGAGTCATTTAGAAGGTTAACAAGTAGTGATAAATCAACTAATCTTCAAGTGGATTAATGATTTAATCTTTGAAACAATACTTGGAATCATAACACCAAACTAGACTACTTTGAATGATGTGAAAACAGTGGTGTTTTCTTGATTAAATTTGAAAGTCAGTTGGAAGAAATTGTATATGAGAAGAAATTCTTATGTAAGAAGCTAAAATAGAAACATCCATTAGCTAAGAGAATCTTGTTTATATTTGAATGAAATGTCTCCAAGGACAAATGAAAGATGAAAAACTTTTGCTAAAAAATCAGGTAACCGGGCCCTCCCTGGTGGCACAATCAGCTAAGCACAGCACTATGAAGTTATAGTAGCCACTGGAGCACTAGTTCAACCCCTGGCCAGGGAGGTGACACACATGGCGTCACAGACCTCTCCTGACCCGCCTGCTGCTCCCCTCAGCAGTGTACTTCATCCATCTGCCTGTTTTGCTCCCTGCTCTCTCTCTGGTGAATCCTCTCACCCCTCTACATCTCGACCTGTACCCCAGTCTATATGCATAAATAAATAAATCTTTAAAAAAAAATCAGGTAACCAAAAACTTCTAAACAAAAAGACCATTTCAAAATACAACCTCATTTACTCTCACATTTAACATAAAGCATTCACTTTGGGTGAGAAAACATTAAAGTTGTTGGAAGTAATGAATGTTGTCATCTAACAATCGCCACATCCTTTCTACATTTCCCAATCTGTTCTGTATGACCCTGACCTGTTTAAGTAGCTGATCATCTAAAAAGTATAACCTGTGAGGTCTCCAGATTCTCAATAATAGTTAATTTAAACTAGTAGTGATAAAATCACTCCACTATATGTTCCTAGTCTCTCTTACCATCAGTTTTGGCCAATGATAGGTAAGGGTTCTTCTATAAAATTTTATCTTAACTAAACACACACACACACACACACACACACTCAGAAACAATGAACACTATTCCTTCTCCATTCTCCAGACTTGAGCTCAGGATGGTTCAGATCTACTGCAGCCATTTTGTGATCTTGAGGTAGCAAACTCAAACATAAAGTCAACACACTAAGAAATTTCTAGTTAGAAAAAAGGGAAATAGCCTTTTATTTTAAGATGCCAAAAGTTCAGTTTCCTATGATTTGAGATTGAAAGCTTCCATAACTAATACATTTACTAAATATGCTCATATAGTAATATGGCTTTGACCCAGGTTTGACTGTAAACAAAACATGAAAAATTGTGGTACTTACCATAATGCAAGAGTCCTGGGGTTCAAGGTCAAAGTCAGTGAAGTTCAAGAGCACACGATGATTTTTTGCTACTCGAATGACCCATGAACAATCAGTGTTACTCCTATAAGGACTGGGATAATTTGGAGAATGAATTTCTCCACTGGGAGCCTGGAAAATACCACCACAACCTGTAGATGGGAAACCCAATTCAGTAATGAGATTAGACTAATCCCTGTTGTATAAACTTTATACCATAAGCTAGTAACATAGAATAATACGTTGGTTTAACCAACAGTTTTATGTAGTCTGTGGTAAACATTATTAAGGATAGAATATGCCACCCCAAGAAAATGAAAGAACACTAATAAAATACTTCAAATGCATTTAACACTTTTACCAAAAGTTACTTTAAAAATACTGAAAATAAATGCAAAAAAATAATGTTTTCATAAGACATAAAAGGTCTTATTTTCATTGTTTTCTAAAACTACAGCAGACAGCAAGAGTAAGTATCTCCTTCCAAGAATTTCGATAATTCAGTATGTATGCTTTTATAATTTAAAATCTGTGTTTTGAAAAGTTACTATTCTGTATTTAGCAGTTACTCAGTGTTTGTTTCTATGTTGTTACCAAAAACCTATCAGTATTTACTGCTATAATTCATCATTTCTTGGATTTATGATGACATAAACCAATAGTGGAAATTGGTATTATTTTCTAATCATTGAGAATCATTTTGGGATAAACCCTAGATTTGTCTAATTGAAATTATTATAATTCAGTTCTTATTAAGTTTCATATGTTCCTAGTCTCTCTTACCATCAGTTTAGGCCAATGATAGGTAAGGGTTATCTAAAGTACTTTGTACATTACCTTAGAGTTGACTAGAAAAGATAGTAAGATCAAATTTGAGGCTAGTGAAGAGACACAAGTTCTTTGAAAAATTGGTCTGGCCAAGTTCCCTACTTCTGCTCTCACCATAGACTCACACACTTTCCTTATTTTCACAGACAGAATGACTCTTTGGAAATTACAGTCTATCCCTCTTTTAGGGAAAACTATATATCAAAGCAGAATTTGCCATTTCAGAAGTCACAAGTTTATCAGGATGTAGTCTTCATATTTCTCTCCATCACTTCATGAAATTTAACAAGGGCTCAGCTGAAGTACTCACCTCCAGGGATGGCTCGCCATGAGGCGTTGAAGCCTCTACCATTTACAGAGCTGTCGGTCTTAAATCGGATTGCTAGCTCATTTCCAGTGCTGGAGACCTGCATAGGATTCTCTGATGGTCTTTGGGCACATAATTTGGCAATTCTGGGAGCATGAAAGTCAGGGCCTCCATAGATCTAAGATGGAATGGGAACAACAAAAAAGAATTTACATTAAGAGAAATATATTTAAGCAATTTACAGTTCTTACCCTGACTCTGTCACCACCAGCTCCTGGAATTTATTATCATTAGAGAATGAGATCTCAGCTTCCCTAGGTAGGGATGAAACTGCAGCTTGAGATGCACCTTCAAAGGCTCCCTCCTCTTTGCCCTAGGAACACATACCTTTAACCATTATCAAAGCCCTTGCTTGTTTTTCAGCCAGAAGTGTAGAGTTGAACTCAAGAGATTATTCTGGAATCTTCCCTATTTCCTCTCTTCCTTTTTTTTTTTTTTTTTCATGTCTTTATGGGCTTTCCTGCTTTTTTTTTTTTTTTTTTTGGCAGAGGTGTTACTGATAATCAGAATCAAGTCTAATTTTTTAACTCTTCTAGTCATTATTACACTAAACCTAGACATAGTTTTTAACATAAAGTGATTTTCTCTGTGAAAGTTAAGTTCACCAAAGGCTATAGATCATACAGTTATATTTGTAGGATTTTCCACTTTATACTTTGAAATTTTTATATTAGACATTTAAAATAATGTTTTTGCTTCTTCAGAGGGAATGAAAATACCATCTCTGTCAGTGTGTTCTGTGACAGCCTCAGAGCAGATCCTCTTTGTCGACTCCCAGTGACCACTCACAGGAACATCTAACTTTTGCTCAGGAATTGCCAGTGGAACTGGCCACAGTGTCCAGATGGTTCCCTTCAGATCCTCTCACTAGGATTTAGAACTCTTACTGTTTCTCCAATTTCCAACTAGACAACTGGCAGGGAACCAACATCTGGGACACATTCCTCAAGTGTTCCCTTGGTCTCAACCCTAGACCCTGCAGGCTTGCCTAGCCCAGCTGGGTCTCCAGAGCACCTCATACTCTGGTTTCTCAAACACTCCAGGGTCCTGCTTATTTAGTGTGTGTGACGGGGAGAGGAGCAGGAAAAGGGTGGGTAGAGTGAGAAAAGAATCAAAGGAAAAAGGTATTGACCTTCAGATCTGGTCAAACTGGAACTTGTAGGAGGACAATTTTTTGATGACAATTTTTAGGCATGTGGGTGTCAGGGTCCTTCCTCATCTTCACAACTATATGCTCATAACTGTACATTCAGGGTGGGGACCGGAAGCAGCACCTAGTAGATCTGTGTGCAGCCTCCTCCCAACTCTACCATCTGCGCAGCCCCCCCCACCTCACGATTGCACTTCCCCCATCCTTCAGACCCCCAGGCCCTTGCCCATCCTTAAGGAAGCTGTTGACTGATAGGAGAATCACTCCAGTGCTCTCTGGAGAGAGGCAGTGAAAACAAGAAGTCTGCTTTTGGGGAGGAGTATGTGATTCGAATCTATAATGATGTCTTTGTCTGAGTAACTCCCCCCAGCCCAGCGGCAAAGGCCAAAATGAATGACACTGCTGTTCCACAGTGGGCTGACAAGGGCTGTAATTGCAAAGGAATGAAGCAGGCTGACTGCTTCAGGCTTATTTTCATTAGGAGGAGCTATGTTTGTGTGGCCCCTGAAGTCCCATCTACAGCAGGGCTTTAAGAACAGCCCTGTGTGGCCCTTTACACTATTTGCAAAAGGAAGAAACAAGATAGCTCCTTGTTTTGAGTGCCCTTTCCCATTTTTAGATTTCCCTACTCCCTTGCCCAGCATGCAGCCTTAGAGAACCAAAATGACAGCATGTGCTCCTAATCGTCTGAGCCCAATAAACAGCACATATTTGGAGAGAACATTGAGCACAAAGCTTTAGTCCTAACAAAGAAAACTTGCATGTCGGCAAAATTTTCTTTGGTTTCCTCACTCATGGGCCCCTCTGAAATCACAAACATAACGGAATGAATTGGCAGAGCCTAGAAGCCTCCAAAAGGATAAACACTGATACTTTTGACATTTTTGTTTTTTGCTTTCCCTTACTGAGCTGGGCTCACAAAAGACCATCAGAGAGACCGTAAGCAGCCAGCTGCCTGCACCAAGCAATTGTCTTGGTTTATGGCACCAAGGAGTGGATTTCCTTTTTCTGCATTATGCCAGTTCAATCTCCTTTCTCAGACTAAAGTAAAATCAGTGTTTTTAGGACAAGAACAATAGAATGGTGCTTTTGGCTCCCACATATAAAACCAATATGACTCTTAGCATATGACTCTTCAAAAGAGGGAAAAGATGGAAAGAATTTCAGGGTGTGGTTCATCTGACTTCAGTATATGACTAAACTTTGGGGGAAAAGAATTGGTCTGATTATCAGAGATTTAGAATTGTGCTATTAGCAAGTGCTCAGGAGATAGAAGGTTCCAAAGCCCATGGTTTTAGTCTGTTTTGAACATTTCTTTCTGCTCTGTTAGCTTCTTTTAGGGTTATAATTAAGTCAGCATTCCTGTGTTATGAGTAATAAAATGACTGTTGTTCAGTGCAGCTGGTTACTCTCTGGACCATGGATTTTGTGGGGGGAAATATACCGGCTTTGACTTTCATGTCGTGAAGCCCAGGTCAGCCCATACCTGGTGATGTAAGACCTGACTTGACTGTGCTAAGCAGAATAAGAAAGAAAAATGTGCAGATGGAGAGCAAATGAGACAAAAAGTCAGTCTTGGGCCACACACCCACCAGGAGTACCAATCTTGACACCTATTGCTAATATATTATTAACATTTATGGGGTGAGAAATGGAAATCACCCTTTTATCATCATTAGTCCAAATTTACCACAGCTCTTTCTATCTGACTTAAGCGTTCACTTGTAGAAAAGTCAAGTAGTGTTTTTGAACAAAAAGGAAGGGCTTGTTCATTTCATCTTTAAGAAAAAAAAATACAAAATATTTAAAGGACTCAGAATGTTCCTTCCAACTTTGATTCTGGTGGAAAAAGAGGGGCCACTTTGCCCTAATAAAAATAAGCCCCTTGGGCCCTCCCTGGTGGCGCAGCGGGTTAAAGCACTGCACTGAGAATCTAAAGCCACTTCAGCATGAGTTTGATTCCCACCTGCCCGGGAGGTGACCACATGGTGTGGCAGACCTCTCCTGACCCACCCGCTGCTCCCCTCAGCAGTGTACTTCCTCGATCTGCCTGTTCTGCTCCCCACTCTGTCTCTGGTGAAGCCTCTCACCTCCCCTGAGCCTCTGGCCTGTACCCCAGTTCTGGATGCACAAATAAATAAATCTTAAAAAAAATAAAATAAAATAAAAAAAAATAAGCCCCAACCAGGCCGCAGGCTTCTCTCACAGTCCTGGCTGTGCAAGCCCAAGACGGCTGGGTGCCCTGCGTTGTCCCCCTGGCTCTGAGGCTGCTTGCAGGGAACAGCCCCAGTCTTTGCTTTCTCACGTAAGGGGTGTGACAAAACCCAAAGCACAATGAACCCATTTACATTTTGCCAAGTGGGCAACAATCACATGAGTTTGCAACATGAAATGATGGGTTGGGAACATTTCACATTACTTGGAAAAGACTGTTGCCAGCCCTTGTAAGTGTTAAGGAGTTTTAAGCAACTGAGAAATATCCTCTCCAGCAAGAGAGACCCTTCAAACATTCCACGTGTGCGTGCTTATTCCCACTTCATACTGAGTGCGAATTTAGGGAGCCACTTTGTCTGTCTTCCTAAAATACCTTCGGATGGAGTTCTGACTTGTCATCCATATTTATACAGAGACAGGAACCCGTGTTTCCACCCCAGAATTTACCAGCTTTCTCTCTGATTATACTTTCTGCACCAGTCTCTCCTTTAGAGAAATTTGGGCTGCTAAGTCCAATTCCTAGAGACAGCTCCATGAAGGGGATGATTTGAGAATCTCATTTATTTTAAGGAAAGAGCTTATTTTTTAATTAGCTTTTCAGTGTTAAAGTTTTCAATAAAACAAATGCCACTCATTTCAACATCTTACACAATTCCCACCTCTTTCTTTTTATGCTGCCTTACATAGAGCATTAAGCAGTGATAAATTCAGTTCTGGACTTTGTATTTATGTGGTCATGGAAAAATCCATCATTCTTTTGGCACCTCAGTTTTGTCATTGGTAAATTAGGAACAAAATCCTCCTCCTAACTCACAAGATTGTTTAACATTCAAATAAGAAAATGGATGTAAAATTCCCTCTGTAAACTTCCACAGATGTGCATTATTTGGATGTTTACTGTACTGGGGGTATGGCAGTAAACCAAATTAAAACAAAACCACAAACCCCCAGCCCTCATGGAAGGAGTTTAAATTCCATTGGACCTACAACTCTGTCAAGATGTACCGACAGGCCCTGACACTGGGATCAGATTTGTGCATGCACTTAAAAACCATGAAATTGTACAGACAGGTCTAAGTTCAGTCTATACATACACCAAGTTCCTGTAATAAAAGACTGATTATATTGCAGATGCTCTTGATTATCTCCAATGAGCCCTTTCCAGTAGTGCTAGCAAAAATCTTATCTTCAAATGCCTCCTCTGTCTAAGTGGTCATTTTTTAAAGTCCACTGCAGCAAATAACTTGCTAATTACACTGTAGCCCCTCAGATATGGAAACTCCAGCTGGTGAACAGCTCCTCCTTCCCCAAGCATCTGCCTCTTGTCTATTACTGTACACTCTCCTCACAGCCTTTCCTCGGAGCTTTCTCAGACTGGAAGTGTGGGTGTCAACAATTCCGGCACAATTTTCATCACAGGGAAGGGTAGAACAATTCAAAGAGCAAGGAGAGTCCTCAGAGGACCCCCAGGATGAAACCCCAACTGCCCCCAGTGCTCCATCACTGGCTCCTCCTCTAAGGCTCTCTCGTGCTCACCCACCCCTCACTTCCTGGAGTTCTCCCCATATTAAACTGCCTCCCACCAGGTCCTTGAGCACTGTTCTCAGGAAATCCCAAACTGACATATTGATCCTATGTACTTACAAGCAATATCTGTGAAGGAATGACATGCATCTGAATGTCTGAAAATAGAAAACTACTGGACAGTGGAAAGAATTTGGGAATTCCTGCTGAGTGATTTCCACTTCCACCCAAATTTTTCAAAATGCTGAAAAACAATCTAAATTCCTACCTCCAGAGCATCAAAGTTGCAGCTTGCATGATATTCCACCTCAAAGTCATGGATGGTGAGCTGAATGCTACTCCCAGGGGCTGTCCTAATGTACCAGATGCACTCCTTGTTGGGGGGGTATGTGTTAGGGTACCCGGGGCTGGTGAAGGAGCCCGTGGCCCCAAACAACTCATCACCACAACCTGTTAAAACAGCAAGGTTCATATAGTTGAAAATGGCATCAGCAACTGGGAAAAATTAAAAAATCCAACAAACCAAAAGGTAATTGAAATGCATAACACCTTACTTCAGGGAAATGTTGTAAAGCTATTTTTAAAAAAGTTAAAATTAGTCAGATATTAAACAATGCTAAAAAGTCATGACTACAACTCATTAATTCTTATTAAAGAAAACATAGAAAATATCATTTGGTATAATAATTTTCAGTCCTTTTTCTCACCATAGCAAAACTTTGATACTTTTTAAATGTCATTCTAAGTTGTCTTCAATATTTTTAGGTAAGAATTTCTTTATTATAGTAGGTAACAATTTCACGGTAGGAAGCACAATGGAATGTGGGAGCAATATTAGTGAACTCCATGCCTCTGGGTCTTCATTTTCCTTGTATCTAATATATCACTTTAAAGTCCCTTTCCTACTTAAGACCTAAACTTCTAAGGGTTTAAAATCTTTACTTTTGTATATAAGACTGTAGGAAATAAAATATGTATATGAGATAACAACACAAAACCCTGCATATTTATGTTTATAGCAGTTTTGTTCCTAATTGCCAGAACTAGGAGGCAACTAAGATGTTCTTCAATAGATGCTGAAGGAACTGCGGTATGCTCAGACAGTGGAATGTTACTCAACACTAACAAGAAATGAGTTAAAGAGACCCAAAGGAAAGGTATATGCATATTAGTAATAGGTGAAAGAAACTAGTCTGGGAAGGTTGCATTCTGTATGGTTCCAACTACATGACATTCTGGAAAAACCCACCTTCTGGAGAGAGTAAACAGACCAGTGGTTGCCAGGGATTAGAGGAGAAGGAAAAATGAACAGCAGAGAAGAGCAATTTTAGGGAAGGGAAACTACTCTGTATGATACTGTAGTGGGAAGAGTGCACTGGGCTATGGTGATGGCACATGGGTGAACTGGTGGTGGGAAGCCCATGGGGATTACAGCCGAGATGAAAAAATGCACAAAAAGAAGAATGATGTAAAAAAATTAAAAATTTAAAAATAAATAAATAAATTTGTCAAAATCCACAGAATGTGCAACACCAAGAGTGAACCCTGATGTAAACATGGACTTTGCATGATTATGATGCCTCAGTGTAGGTTCATCAGCTGAAGTATATATCTCACTCTGGTGGGGGTGCTGTGCAAGAGTGGGGGCAGAGGTACATGAGCACTCTGCCTCACAGTCAATTTTGCTGTGAACCTGACACTTTCCTAAAACATAAAGTCTATGAAAACAACAAAAAGTAAATGACACAATGCAGGGAACTTTATATCAAGAAACCAATCACCTTAACAAAAAGCAAATAGTGAAAAACTGATACCCACACCCCCATGACAGTCACATATATATTTTTATGAATGTTCATATACCTTTCCCTAGAATATATTTAAGGCATGTCATTCCAAAAAATGACACGTGGAACATGGTAAAAAGTTATCACTGCTTATTGGAGCTTAGAGATATGTCCAGTTTTAATACTCATAGTAATTTCCTACTTTAATACTTATAGCAACCACAAAAAGAAAGTACTATTATTACCTATATTCTCAAGTGAACAAATCAATATAAACAGAAGTCTAGTGGCTTTCCCAAGATGATCTGGCTTGTAAGTGCTAGGATAGAATCCAGTTATCTGGTAGGTGTTTACTGTAATATAGACACACCAATTGCAGTTACTCTTTCAGCAATATCAGAATGGAGTGAGAAAATTTTAGCTAAGTAGTAAAATTTGAAGATGTTTCAAATTTAAAAGTCAAAATTAGGAATAAGATTATGTTTAAAGATAGCAACTGGTGATTAATGAAAATAGTGTTTGCTTTGTTAACATATCTGGGTCTCTTCTGTTTTTTCAGCACATTCTGACTTAGTTTATAAATTCTTCCAATTACTTCTTTTATTCTTGCACAAAGGTTTTTCATTGTTTAAAAAATGATGCCGCCTCATCACTGCATTATGAATACATGTTCACATGGTTGTAAGTCAACCACTAAGACTTAAAATATAAGACACTAAATCCAAGGTCACACTATTATCTACCCTGCCCAAATTCCTCCCATGAAGTAAATTTGAAAAATGTCTTTAAGATATTAAATAAAAAATATTCTCCATTTGGACTCTCCATTTAACTGAGAAAAGGTGAGTTGAAAATTGAGAATTCCTGCTCAGTGTCAGTTTCTTGCTTCCATTTGAAAACTTCTGTGTTTTAAGAGGGTTGAAAAAAATTTTGCATAGGGCATTATCTTTCTTTTGGCCTATACTGTTCCCACTTTTGTTTCTGGTTAAAGTCCAGTGGGAAAAAAACTCCTTAAAACTAAACATGCTGACATTGTTTATAGACTGTGGTGAATGTTTAAAAAAACACAAGTACCATGAAAGATTAGAAAATGTTTTTTCTACTATAACAGCACATTGAAAATATTCCCAAAGCCAAAATCAGAACAGGTTGAATTTATCCTTACTACCACTGCACAACTCCAGGGGGCGCAAATCACAGTAGAAGCCAAAAAATTGTGCTCCCTGAAGTTGTACAGCACAGTCTGTTATCAGTTCTCTTAGGAAGCATTTACTAAATTATTATATATAGGTAAAAAAGCCATTCCATTACCTCAATTTTTAAAAATTGAGCTTTACATATATCCAGCTTCTATGGTTCTGAATACCAGTTGTCTCAAATAAATAAATGAATCTTTTGAGGAAAATAACTTGATCACCACATAACAGAGAACAAAGAAATGGAAATGCAGATGCTGCCACTTTGTCTTTTTATTTAGTTTCAACTCATCAGACAATCTAATTTTTCAAACACAGTTGATTTGTGTAAAAATCTTTATAGCATTTTTCCATTGTCCTTTCCAATTGCTTTAGGTTTCCTAGTAAATTCCTTTGCAAATAACAGGATGCAAATACCTTTAAACTAGTCACTGTAAGTTGGAATGATGCTATCAGATCCTTGGCATTCAGTAATACTTTGAAAAATTACAGCACTTATTTTGTTTAACCATTTCCAACTCTGGAGACAGGGTAGTTTTCCCTAAGATTTTAAACAAACATAATCAGGATTTATTTTCAAAGCTAAATTTTATTTTTATGTATGTCATTTTCTTTTCTCATCAATAGCACTTTATATGTGTGTCCTTTAAAGAGAATTTCCGATATTACTAAAATGACACCCTGTTGATGGAAGATTGTGTGTGGTTGTGAGGAGAAAAAGAAACTTGGAACCAAAAAACTCTTTAAAGTTTTCTTTATCCCATTCATGTTCTCACTACCTCTGAATTTTAACATATCAAAATGTAACACATTTGATTAAAAAATTCACATCAATTGCAAAAAAGACTATTAATTTAGTTGTATTTTATGGCTAAAAAAACTAGAAAGTACTAGAAAAAAGTTAGTTATGCTAATTATGGTATAGGCTTAACTCCATCTTTGTCCTTCTAAATTAAAAGATATATATAAACATAATTTTCTAATCCCACTCTTCATTCAATAAGTACTTATTGAGCTTCTACTAGAGGACAAACAGTGTCACAGAAGCCAGGTGGGATTGAAAGAAACAGTTCTACACATAAAAATTCCTATTAACACATACCTTTATGTATGTCATTAAACTTTTTCTCTCCCTTTAGTTTGCAAAGGGTTATTTCAATACATTTTGATTTGACAAAAACAACCAATGAATTGTATTTAATCTTTTTCATGTTAATTAGTGGTAAGTTAGAAATAAAAGTAAACTGATCATTATATTTAGTTGCTTCAAGGTTTGCTTTAAAGATATGCTTTGTTATTTCTGTAGTCTCGGTGTCTACCTTTCATTCAGAGTAGAAACAATGGTACAGACACATCTGCAGATATTGAGATAAATGAAATGACTTTGAAAAAGTTTTACAAGCTTGGAATGATTTTAAAAATCATGCCATTTTTTAATCATACCTATGACTTTGCATGACCAGGAGACATAGGAGGAAAGCAGGAAGAGAAATAGAGGACAGACAAGCCTGGGGGTGAAATAAGTTATCAACAGATAATTATCAGAATGTGATGTTTAGACTCCCAAAATCCTTTCATTATCATGCCACCCGTATGGTTGAATAGTAAAAAATGTATCATTATTTCAGTAACCTAAAATACATCATTATGGTTTAAGAGAATGCATTAGGGGTCGACAGAAAGTAAATGATGAAATTACTAACCAAAGAATGGACAACAGAGTGATAAAGAGCTCTGAGAGATATATACTTAGAAGAAATGATGATAGTGACTCTGCACCCAGTTGGCAAGAGAAAGTTTTCATGGAGGAGATGACATAATTTCAGAGTTGTATAATTTCATGTACAGTTGGAAAGCTTTGGAAACAGTATGACATATAAAGTAAATCATAGATTATGACATAAGAACACATGGAATCAACCTTGGCTGGATAACTAATTTAGACTTTTTAACCCTCAATTTCTTCATCTGTAACAGTAATCAGTACTTACCTGGTAGGCTTGCTGTATAGTTTAAATGACATAACCTAATTATGATTTTTAGCAAACTGTCATGCACATAATAATAACTGCACAATGCTTTGTATCATGTTTAACAAGAGTTTGTCTAGATATGGGATGAAATTAGAGAATGGCTTGGAGCTAGAAAGGAAACTACCATACAGTTAAAGAGTCATTATAAATATTAAATACATGCAAGAAATCAATTGTTCATTGAGCTATAATAAAGATAGTTTATATTGTATGGTAGTTCAGTGTTTAGAATGTTTTTAGTAAGTCCATTACCTATCTTCTTTAAAATAAATAGCAACTCGACGAGATAGCCAAGAATGACATAAGGGCCATTTTAGAGAAGAGCAAAGTGAAATCCAAGAAAGCATAAGACTTACAGCTCACATAATAATGAACCAACTGGGGCCAACTGGAGCCCTGGTCTCCTCCCACCATGCCAACCTTCCTACCCTAGT